CCACCACCAGCCTTGAAATGCTGCACCCAGTTCCTCACTGGACGCGCACACGCGCGCACACACATGCACACACATGCGCACACACACACGCACACCAACATTCTCCACTATTTCTTTCGTCTGGTGACCAGCTTGTGAAGCCCTATGATTAGAGCTATAGTTTCAGGTGTTAGACTTCCTTTTACCCATAATCAAACACATATAGCCCCAAAACCAAAGGGAACACCAGACAAAAGATTGGGTGGATGCGAGACAAACGTGCAACACTTCCCCTCACCATGGCAGCCATGTGGGCACTGACGAGTTACTCTGCAGTGTGGCAGCAGGTCGATACGTCATACTAACGGCTGCTACCCGCCATAATGCAATAACAAAGAAAGACCCCCCTGAATGGTAGGCCTTTGATTTTCGTCATGGCATTATGCTGGGGTACTCGCCCGGCACAATGCAGTGATGAGCACTGTTGTACTACCAAGGAAATTTACACACGCTTGGCATATTCATATGCCACAGTTTTATATAAAAAAGCTCACCAATTGAGGCTTTACTTCATAAAATAAGTATGATATAAAGAAATACTATATACTACATAGAATAAACAAGAAAATTAAATACTGCTACACTAAGCAGTCCTCAGCTGAAAATGAACATCACACAAATAAAATACACCTACACTATGTATTCCTCTGCTGCTCACAGCTAAATAAACATACTTCATATTATAAGATCTCAAACATGCTAGATGACTGCCACTGTTGTACCATTAACCCCTTAACTGTCCAAATGTAGATCTACGTTCTCTTGCCCAACACTCCGAATATTTTGAAAAATAAATTTTTTTTTTTTAAATGGACATTTTTTTTACATAATGTAAAAAAAAAAAAAAATCTAGAGTCAGTACTTACAGAGATATAAGGCAGCAAAGTCGGCACTTGTCACTCATCTGACGGTAACATGAAGCACTGCCACTTGCAGATGCGTTGCCGATATACCTTTTTATCTCTTTTTTAATTTGTATAATTTTAATGTTCTGATAATGACAATTTGTAGTAGTTCTTGTGATTTCATAGTTAATCTTTGTTCTGATACTAATATTAGGTACTGAAATAGTGCTCAAATAGTGACAAACACAGTGACAGGTGAACATTTTTACCTACCTTAGTCACATACTATTGTCTAGAAATATATACAGTACATAGTATTTATAGGTCCCAGCAAAGTTTTGGATACAATGGAGTATATAATAATAAGTAACAAAAATAATATAATAATAATAATAATAATAATAATAATAATAATAATAATAATAAATTCCCTTGAAGCTTCATGTAAGAGTGTCACTTATCTCTTCACTCCACTGCTGACAACGATGAGCATCGTCTTATCTAATCATATGTCTCTGGTAATAACAGTGGTGACATTTAATGAGCGTCATCTTATCTTATCTCTCTGCTAATGACAGTGGTGACATTTGACGAGCCATTGCTTTATTTGTTTTCACTCTTACACAAACATGTCTGTGTCTGTCTCAAAGAGTTGCTTATGAACCATCTGGCATTACACACAATCACTATCTACAAGCACAGTAAAGCACTTTGGATTTTTTGGGTTATCCTAGGAAATTTACACTATGTAGAATTGTATTTATGTACGTGTTCCTGTGAGATAGAGACAGATATACAGTGGACCCTCGACTAACGCTCTTAATCCGTTCCTGAGAGCTCATCGTTAGTCAAAATTATCGTTAGTCAAGCTAATTTTCCCCCATAAGAAATAATGGAAATCAAATTAATCCGTGTAGGACACCCCAAAGTATGAAAAAAAAAATTGTTTTTACCACATGAAATATTAATTTTAATACACACAAACTGAAGAAGACATGCACAGTTACATGACACTTACCTTTATTGAAGATCTGGTGATGATTGTTGGGATGGGAGGAGGGGAGAGTGTTGATGGTCTTAGTGTTTAGAAGGGGAATCCCCTTCCATTAGGACTTGAGGTGGCAAGTCCTTTTCCGGGGTTACTTCCCTTCCCTTTAAATCTCTCAAACCAACCTTTGCTGGCCTTAAATTCACTCACATCACCACTAATTGCTGGCATTTTTTTCATTAAATCGTCATGCAACTTCCTAGCCTTTTCACATATCGCTTGAGAGATGCTATCTCCTGCTATCTGTTTTTCGTTTATCCACACCAATAACAGTCTCTCAACATCTTCAAGTACTTGCGATCTCAGTTTCGAAAACATAGTTGCACCTTTTGCAAGAACAGCTTCCTTGATTGCCGTTTTCTTGGCCACAATAGTAGCTATGGTTGATTGGGGTTTTGTGTACAACCTGGCCAGCTCGGAGACACGCACTGCACTTTCATACTTAGCAATGATCTCTTTCTTCATATCCATAGTAATTCTCACCCTTTTTGCTGTAGGGTTGGCACTAGAAGAGTTCTTGGGGCCCATGGTGACTTATTTTGCAGGTGCAATCACTAAAAAGGCTGTGATAACATGAAATGTTCTGATTGTATGCTTGGAAGCGACCGCGGTGGCTGGCTGGCTTGTAAACACTGGCCAGAAGTGGACGCGTCTGACGGAACAAATAGTGTTGGTCGAGTTTTTTAGCGCTAGTCGAGGCAAAAATTTTGCGTTAAAATGTATCGCTAGTTGGATTTATCGTTAATCGATGCCATCGTTGGTCGAGGGTCCACTGTAGAGAGAGATAGATACAGAGACAGAGATACAGTCAATCAGCCAGCCAGCAAGCCTGCCGAAATTACGGTTCCAGGCTATTCTTTTTACTTAGGGCATGGGTTATAGGACATTCTGGCAAGATGACACTTTCCTCTTAAAAGGGGAGTGTTAATACAACATGACATCAGTGAATCCTTGGTGTTTGCTGCGCTTTGCTCTAGCTGTTGCGCAATTGAACTGGTGCTCCCACAAGGTACTAAATGGTCCCGGATTTTTTTAATACAGCGCACACCGAGGGTTAATACCCATTTTATACTGACCAGGCATCTTAGGCCAATTGTGCCAAATTTGGAGGCAGGAAAAACAAAACGTAGATCTACATTTGGAGTGCTAGCGTTAAGAATGTAGATCTACGTTTGGACAGTTAAGGAGTTAAGCACCAACTGTTATAGCACTATGTGGACTATTTGTAAGCTATGTCAAGTACATTACAGCATTTATATTTTGCAAGTAAATATTTGTGATTACTTATTTGTAGTTACAGGAGACACCATGAGTGTAATTATTAATGGCTATATTGATGGTGTCCCACTTAGCTGACCACTCTCTCTGAATAAGCCTTTTACTATCTATTCAGCACAGATTTTTTCCAAGATTATAATTACAGCTCTTTTTTTATAGTGTTAAATTCTCCCTATTTACCTTTAAATAACCTTTCATAATCTTCAATATAATGATTACCATGGCTGCTCTTGTCTGTGCAGCAAGCAACAAGAACACCTTCCACAGGTTTCTTCCTGTCTTCTAAGCCCAGTCTTTCAATATTTGAACTTTGTCTATGTTATGGGGCTATAGGACCCAACATGTATTTATAAGTAACAGTTACTCTGGAATACCTAATTATATTGAATTGATGGGGACTTTGCTCTAAATGTCAGAAGGACTGATCAACCTTATGACTGAGAGGCAGCTGGGTCAAGCCTATTTTTCTCAATATAATAGGTTATACTATAGACACATAAACACACAATTTAAATAAGTAGTTTATAAAGTTGTATTTCTTTTTGTAAAAGTAAAATTAAGGTGTGGTAGAATTGTGGTAACTGGAGAATTGTGCTTGGCAACAGTCTTTTGTTTTGGTGGGAGGAGCTTAGCCAGGCTCTCTCTCTCTCTCTCCCTCTCACTGACTCCCTCTCTCTGTGGCTGACCTTCAACCTGGCGGGATCTCTGGGTCCTTCTTCTATCTTTTGGGGAATTGTGTGTGCTCCAGGGGTGAGTTTTTATAATTTAAGTTGTGGCCACCATACCCAGGGTGACTAAAGTGTGTCAAAACACTGGTTAGCCCAGAGTTATGTCAAGAAGAGAGAAGGATAAAAGTTGTTGGAACACACCATGTGGAGAACAGGTATGGAGTGTGTAGATTTTGTTTTGAAAATGTGAGGCTGTGATTGTATATTCTGTACATATCTATTGAGAATACAGTTATATTTTTATAGTAGTAGTTTACATAACCTGTGAAGAGGGCTGGTGAAAGGGTATCAGAGACACTCAAGATGATCAGCCATGATGTAAGTATTACCCCTAGACAGATAAGGCCATTAAGTAAAAAGCTACCCCACACTAGAACATGTAGTGAGAACCTTACTATCAAAGTAATAAGGGACAACCAACATAACAGTCTATTTTATCCTTTATATGATAGTACCACAAAACGGTTTAATGTTACAATTTTTTGTCTAACAGATGTTAATGTTTTTCAGAATTTCACTATACTGTACATATAAAATTAATAATACACTAGTACTTTGGAAGGGAAGGGGATTAACCCTTAAACTGTCCAAACGTAGATATACGCTGACGTGCGGCAGGCTCCGAACATAGATCTACGTTTTTTTTTTTTACATGCTTTCAAATGGGGAAAATCAAGGTCTGGAGCACTACGCACATGAACGTAGATCTACATTTGGACAGTTAAAGGGTTAAAACAAATATACGCTGATGTGCGGCAGGCTCCGAACATAGATCTACGTTTTTTTTTTACATGCTTTCAAATGGGGAAAATCAAGGTCGGAGCGCTACGCACATGAACGTAGATCTACATTTGGACAGTTAAAGGGTTAAAAAAAATTCCACAAACAAAAATTAAACAGCCATTTTAAAACCAGCCTTTCAAAATGGAACCAGAGGATAAAAAGCATTGATAGAGACTAATCCTTACAAATTCAAAATAAAACATATGTTTGGGGGAAAGGATACCTAAATTAACCAGAAATGGAAGAACTACAAAAATAAAGCATAACCTCCTGATTCACCTAATATTGAGTCCTTGGTCCTTGCCATGCTCATCTATATACTTGAAGTTCTCTAATGTCCTCAGATCATAAATATGTTCCCGAGCAGATGTGACCACTCTCTCGGAGCCATTACGAACTAGGTAATTGAGCAGCAAGAGAGACTTGTAAGTTCGTCGCCATGCAGTTCGATTGTCTTGTAACATTCGCTTCCACAGCATACCCATAACTTCAGGAAACTGTTCATAATAAAATGTTGACTGTGCCAATTCTTGCATTTGGGGGCCTGGCGGGAAAATAAACAGTAGTAATGAATAACAGAATCTTATAAATTTTTATGTACAGTATAATGTTAATTGTCACTGATCATGAAATGTATCCATGTAGTTTAACCCTTTGACTGTTTCAGTCGTATACATGTATATACGTCTTAAGAGGTACCGTGTTTGACGTATATATACTCAAATTCTAGCAGCTTCAAATCAAGCAGGAGAAAGCTGGTAGGCCCACATGTAAGAGAATGGGTCTGTGTGGTCAGTGTGCACCATATAAAAAAAAATCCTGGAGCATGCAGTGCATAATGAGAAAAAAAAAACTCCGACCGTTTTTTTTTTTAATTAAAATGCCGACTTTGTGGTCTATTTTCGTATAGTATTTATGGTTCTATTCTAGTTTTCTTGGTCTCATTTGATAGAATGGAAAACATATTATAGAAATTGAGGTGATTTTGATTGGTTTTACTATGAAAAGAACCTAGAAATGGAGCTCAAAGTAGGGAAAATGTTTGATTTTTGCCGACGCTCAAAAGTTAACAAATAATATCACTGTTCAATAAATGTCCAAGTAACCATTCTAATATGCAGTCATGAATGGGTTGACATTATTTGTACAATTATTACAATATTGCAGTAGTCTGCATAACAGTAAATCTTCTATTTTCTATTTGAATAAAAATTCAAAATAGAAAGCAAGAGTAATATCAGAGGGGCCTGGAGACGTGACTGATGAACAAAGAAAATGTTATTTTAGAGCCAGGAATGTCTGCATTGTTCATTCTGGACCTTATTTTGAAATTGTTATATTTTTTTAATTTTCGTGAAATTGGCCAAATTGCAAATTTCTGACCATGTTATTAGGTAGTTGAAATTGGTAAATGGGCAGTTTCTTGTACTCAATTGATAGAAAAAACGAGTTCTAAAGAAATAGCTACAAGTTTGGTCGACTGGAACAATGGTATTAGCCGAAAATAGGGCTCAAAGTGGGCGAAATTGCCGATTTGTAAATATCGCTGAGGTCGCTAACTTCACGAGAGCTTAATTCCTTCAGTTTTCCATCAAATTGGTTTTTTTTTCGGTGTCATTACAATCGGGAAAAAATTCCCTATCATTTCATAAGAAATTTTTTTTTTTAAATTTTGCAACACCAGGAGACACCTCAGGATTGGGGGTTGCGACAGTCAAGGGGTTAAATAACTCTTCTACAATAAAAGTTAGGGCAAATATAGAGAAGATCTTTATGTCGATTCCTCAAAAATCAGTGTAGAATTATTCAAGAAAGTGTACAGGTAAGCCTCTCATAGTGCACCCTTGCACAGTGGACCCTCGGTTTCCATGATTAACCCTTTCAGGGTCCCCAGGCCCTCTCCCAGACTTGTTCTCAGGGTCGCCCAAATTTAAAAAAAAAAAAATTTTTTTCTTACGAAAAGATAGAGAATCTTTTCCCGATCATAATGACACCAAAAGTATGAAATATGATGGAAAACTTACAGAATTATGCTCTCACGAAGTTAGCGCTCTCAATGATGTTTACGCATCGGTGATTTTGCCCACTTTGAGCCCTATTTTCGGCCAATTCCAGTACTAGTTGACAAAAATCATAACTATTTCGCTAGAACTCCATTTTTTCTATCGAACGAGTACAAGAAACCACCCATTTACCGATTTCAACTATCCAATACGGTGGTCAGAATTTAGCAATTTTGCCAATTTCACACAAATTTCAAAAGATGCCAATTTCCAAATAGGGTCCAGAATAAACAAGAAAGACATTCCTGGCACTAAAATAACATTTCCTCTGTTCATTAGTCAGGTCCCCATGCCCCTCTTACCATCTTTTGCTTTCCACTTTGAATTTTTATTCTCACAAAAAATAGAAGATTTACTGTTATGCAGACTACTGCATTAGTGTAGAAATGGTATAAATAATATCAGCGCACTTGTAAAAGAATATTAGACTCGCCAGTTGACGTGTATTGGATGCTTAGCAGCTTTCTCTCACTAGATTTGAGGGCGCTAGAATTTATGAGTACTAGTACGGTAAAAACCCTGGTGCGTAAGCCGTACTAGTACGTCCGAAACCCTGAAAGGGTTAAATATGTTCCAGAGAGTGACAAAACCCAAAAATCACGAAAACAAATAATTTTCCCCATAAGAAATAACGTAAATCCAATTAATCAGTTTCAGACACCCAAAAGTATTAACAAAAATACATTTTATAGAGAATAACTATAGTTTTACATACAGCAAACAGTGAGAAATAAATATAAAGCACTAATGAAATGGATAAATGAACATTTAAATCACTTTTACCTTTATTGAAGTCTTGTTGGCATATGGAAAAAGGCGAGGAGAGGAGAGAGAGGCGAGTTTGTTAGAAGATCGGACAAAATGCTTAAATATGATCTAATATCAACCCTACAGCTTATTTATCTACCACAATTCATCTAATATGACATAAACAATATTAATATTAATGACAGAAACATTGCATATACTACTCTAGAATGAACATGTCATTATGTACGTGAGGAGTGGTGGCAGTGTTGCCATTGGGTTTATCAGGACCACTGACAGCATAAGCCATACATAGTGGTGGTGGTGGTGGTGGCAGCAGCAGCAGCAGCAGCAGCAGCAGCAGCAGCAGCAGAGGCCACCACCACTATTCACACTGAAACAATGTACATAATTTATAAATAAGAAATATTTACACTTATCTTGGAGGAGATGCTGGCATTGGTTTAGGGTGGTGGAAGATATGCAGGGCAGCATATACTGCCAGTGGCCCTGTATACCTCCAACAACATTGGAGGAGTTAGTTTCTTGTCCTTTTTCTATCACTTTATCACTTAGCTTACTTGCTACACTGTTAATGCTACATTTTATCGCTGGCTGGCGCAATAGCCTTTATTGATTCCTGCTGCTTTAGTATCATACATATAGTAGAATCACTGAAGGAGGCACATTCTTCCCTCTCTTTTCCTCCTCCACTTTGGTACTTTGCAACAAATTCTTTCTTGAATTTTATCGTGTTTCTCACCTTTACCAAAGGGCTGGCACTAAGAGCTTTCTTTAGGCCCATGGTGGCTTATTTAGCAGTCACACACAATAAACAAGTGCAAAAAACAATGGATTATTACGAAATGTTTCTTATGACCTCGCAGAGTAATGTTCACTTGCTGACAAATAATGTCACACCAACTCAGAATGGTGTCTGAGAGGCTTTGTGCATGCGGGCACTCAGATATATTCCATACGACCGACAAAACCAAAGGGAATTAACAAAAAACAGACTATTGTGACGATAACCGGAAATCACAAAATCAGAGGCAAACGAAAACAGAGGGTCCACTGTATAGCACATTTTTAAAACAATGGTATTCAAATCTACATTAAACATCTAGCGGTATAGGATTTTTGCCTGGGTTTACATGCGGTAAAGGTTTTAAAAATAATGGCTTGGTCATGAAAAATTTTCGGATTTATAAGGCCTGGGGAAAGTTGGTTGTCAACTCTGGCTCAATATGGCATATGCTGTAGCCTGTAGTGGCCATCTTTGCTACAACAATGTTGACCCACAGCCATCAGCTAAGTAACAAACTGCTCACACTTGTTTACTGCTCAGTACTCATAAACATCTCCAAACACTTCTACAGCAACAAGCAACAGAACAAGGAATTTAAGGTGGCACATTATCATAATCAAATAAAGCACTAAACTGACAAGGGTCATGCAGTGCTGCTTGGTAGAAAATAGTGCCGGGGCTATAACCGGCTAGGTGAAGAGGGGATCAGAGGTGAGGAGAAAAAAGGGCTGGAAGGGACGCTTATGGATACGTGTCAAAGTTCATATAACAAAGCAGTTGCTGACAAAAAGTAAAAAAGTGATCTTAAGTCAAAGACAGGGTTGTCTGCAAGAAAGGAAGATAAGAGCGGTAGGACGACGGCATCAGTGAAGGTAAATCCAGCGAACTCGCTGGTAAACCAGACAATCTACAAGAAAGTGAAAAACTGAAATAGGGACCTGACAAACCTCAAAGAGACATATAGAGTGTCGTTCCACGAGCTACCTATGGGTAAGGCAAGTATGACCAATGTGGAGATGGGTGAGCGCAGTCTCCCAAGCATGGCAATGGTGGTAAGAAGATAGCCACAAACCTATAAGAGGTATAACCCTTTCAGGGTCCAGAGGCCAAATTTGAAAGCACGCACCAATGTCCAAGAATTTTAAAAAAATAATTGTTATTTTTTCTTATGAAATGGTAGAGAATCTTTTTCTGAATGTAATAAAACAAAAAGTACGAAATTTGATGGAAAATTGATGAAATTATGCTCTCGTGAATTTTGACGTGTCAGTGATATTTACGAATCAGCGATTTTGCCGACTTTGACTCCCATTTTAGGCCAATTACATTATTCCAGTTGACCAAATTCTTAGCTATTTCACTAGCATTACTTCTATTCTATCAACTGAGCACAAGAAATTGCCAACTCAACTGTTTCAACTACAAAATAAAGTGATTGGAAATTGGTAATTTGACCAATTTAGTGCAAAGTTCAAAATATTCCAATTTCAAAATAGGGTCCAGAATAAACAATGCAAGCATTCCTGGCACTAAACTAACATTTCCTCTGTTCATTAGTACATTTTCAGGCTTTACAAATGAATTCCATTTTGATTTTTAACCCTTTGACTGTCGCGGCCGTATATATACGTCTTATGTCCTGGTGTCGCAAAATTTAAAAAAAAAAAAAAAATTTTTTTCTTATGAAATGATAGAGAATCTTTTCCCGATTGTAATGACACCAAAAAAAAACGAAATTTGATGGAAAACTGACGGAATTATGCTCTCGCGAAGTTAGCAACCTCGGCGCCGTTTACAAATCGGCGATTTCGCCCGCTTTGAGCCCTATTTTTGGCTAATTCCATTGTTCCAGTCGCCCAAACTCATAGCTATTTCTTTAGAACTCCATTTTTTCTATCGATTGAGTACAAGAAACTGCCCATTTAC